GGGAAAGAGGCAACTTTGCATTGCTGGGCTGAGTAAAGTGCATAACCAAGCCTGTAGCACTGTCTGGGAACAGGGCCTCAGCTCACAGCTGGTGAGGTATCCAGGAGATCACATAAATATGAGCAACTGTTGCACAGGGATTCCAGAGGGCAAAGTCATTTACAGGTGATGTGGGCAGGCACCTCGATTTTTTTTTCTCCTCTAGCCTTTCCCAGACTCAGTTGGCTTCACCTCTGGTTCGTTTTCAAGAGGCAATGAAAAGTCAAGTCAATGAAGGGAGAGTCTGCTGACCCAAAGAGGGGCCGTACTGCCTGGCACACTGTGCCCACACAATAGTGCAGAGCTTCTCCCACGCCCCACAAACAGGCAGCACCCTGTGGTCTCTGCCAAAAGAGAAGTTTCGACCTGAACGTAGTCAGCAGTACAAAAGAAGCAGACTCGAGGCCCATTTAAAACTCTGACAGTTTATAACCTGACTGACAAAATTATGATTTGCTCCAGCTGGAGTCTGCACAGGATGTGACAGGCAGAAACAGGTACACGTTGGAGAGGAAGTAAGAGAGGAGCATCATCCAATACATCACCTTTCCTACAGCAATCGTCTCCTAATTAAACTTTTTACCCATTTGTAAGTCACAGTTTAGAGAGAAACTGTTTGCCTTGCTGAGGCACAGCTTAGTCCCATACTGTGGAGTCACATTAGGAGGCCAAGAAATGCTTGGATCCAGCCAGCCTGGCCCTCTGCAGAGAGAGAAGGTGCTGTGCCCACCAGCCCATGATGCCCACACTGTACCTGTGCTTCTGACAGCATGACGTCCTTGATCACTGGCTGACCTCGGGGCTCGTTGTTCTCCAGCTTCACGTACGTAACCTGGTACCCACGGATCTGCCCGTGCTGCTTGTTGGAGATGGGCAGCTTCCAGCTCACCCGGATGGCAGTTGAATTCACAGACTCTACCTCCACCTTTCGCGGTGGGGCACTGGGCACTGTAACACACACAGGACAGACAGTTAGCAGGTACCACACAGCTGCTGTCAGCTACCTCTCAATTGTTTGCTACCTTCTCTCTACCTCATTGCAAGGACATCCCTGCTGGCACAAGTTCCCTGTACCCATCCAGGAGGTTGTGCTGCAGTTTTCCAGCATGACCTTATCCCTGACCCTTTGCCAGCATCCAAGCACTTTTGCTACTCTCAGTAGGAAAAAGCACAACTATGATAGGCAGGAGCACTCCTAACAAAGCCGCTGTGCTGGACCAGACTCAAGGTCCATCTATCTCTCATTTCCAGCAGTAGAGGAGCAAGGAAGAATGCAAGATTATGGCAGAACACAAAGAATACGGTAACCACCTGCAGCTCAGGCTGCCCTGCGGCAGAGGTTTTGAAGCCTTCCTTGCAACCTGCTTGTCACAACAGCTCCTTTCAGATCCCTCTGTGTACATGCAAACACAGTCCTCAAGCCTCGGGTAGCATGAATGGGTGCTGAGCCTGCCTTGCAGGGAGCCCTGGTACCTGCCACCAGCCAGAGTGCACACACGCTATTCCCCTGTGACAGCAAGAGGTTAATGAGGGGGAAAAGCACCATCCTAAAACAATAACCCAGAGCTCAGAGACAGCAGTCACTGAACTCAGCCAGATAAAGGGGCCTGTGGGGATTGTGACAGCTCTGGGGACTGTATTTCATGCACGGCTAGCTGAATGCTTTTTGATAATAAAATGAAAAATTACACTGCCCAGAAAATATCAATTTTCTTGCAAGGTGAGGCCCGTTTAAAAATATATTTATACCCTATTTACCATTTGGAAAAATTACCTCCTTATTACTTTTTGCTCTTGCATTGACTGTGACAAAAATGTCAATGCTAAAAAATTAGCTCCTTAGTTGCTCCTGGAAAGCTCCTTCCAGCTGAAGCAGCTAGAAGCAGTGGTGTGCACTCCCTGCAGAGGATACTCCTGCTATGTGAGTGGCTGGTATCCAAGTAAAGGACCTGAGCTTCATCCCAGTACCTCTACCAAAGGATCCCTTCTGCCCTCCAATGCCTGGGAAAATCCAGAGGTTTGGAACCCCATACATTCCAATTCTCAATACAGCAAGAAAGAATCTCTATTAGATACTTAGGGATGGATAGCTGACAAGCAGACATAATGAATATTGCTATTTCAACCAACTAAATAGGAAGAAACAGCTACCCAGTAGGAAAGCACAGTTTTTAAGACACGGGGCAATTAATTATTTTCCCCAGATGTCCTTCTTAATTGTAGATAATTAAATAAAATAGAGAAAGGAGGAATGGAGCACTTTAGCACCATGAGGCCAGCTCAAGGTATGGGAATAGAGGGGGCTGTGCTTGAACGGTTACCACCTTCTGGCTGGAGCAGCCTACACTGTAATCCACAATTCACTTAGTGCAGTGACCTTGCAGAAGCCACAGGGCTCTCCTGCCCTAGCATGACACCTGCCCACACCCACAGTTGGGAGTCTAAGCAAAAAACAAGATCCTCCCTAAGAACCACACAGAAGCTGTGTCAAGCTCTGCTGGCAAGAGAAGGTGGGAGGCCTTGGCAGGACATTAAACGGGGATGTTACAAGGACATGAAAAGATGTGAATGTGAACAGACCACAGTGTTTCAAGGAACGGTATCCTACCCCATTCTGAGGACTATGTGCTGCATCTGAGACCCAAAAAGGAAAAGTCTGATTTGTTTTCAGATCACAGTTTAGCATTTTGCATTCCTTTGTCATGGGTATCCACTAAACATCAGCATGTTAGAGGGATATGAAATCACTCCTGACAGCTGAGCTGGAATGTCCAACCACAATGCCCCAAAACAAACTGAGAGAGCTTGTCCAGACATTTCTGGGATAGCAGCTTCCCCTGGGCTACAACTATGCTGAATGAGAACTGAAGCAAACAATACAAGCAGCAGGACACACACAGATGTTTGCCAGCCCAGGAATGCAGTCAGTGAGCATTCCCAGACGCCACTTCCAGAGCCTTGGAGACATGGGGACAGTGGCAGCCCATTTAGGGAAACTGTAACATGTCTGGTTTCAATTTGCTATGCTGACTGGGCAATGCAGAGATCATCCTCTCTTTTCCTGGATGCTGCATCTCTTTCTTTTCCCATTAAATCTGCAGCTTCTGGGGTCAGCATGAAGCCACAGAAGCTCCTACTGTCACCCTGAGCTCTGGCACTTTGAAAGGAAATGGTTTAAGTCACGATGACATAACTGACAGCCCTGCTAATACAAAGCAATTTCTCTTTAAAGCTGTCGTATCCAGTAAAGTGTTCTGTACGTGTGATATTCTGACTCTTGAGTGGAAGAGCAGATTTATATAAGCTGTGGCTTGCCTGGAAGCTGGGCCAAGAAGCAGCTTTCCTGCAATACCTACAAGTTTCAAATGGATTTATTTTCCCCTTCTTTAGTTTGCTGGATTTCAGGTCAACAAGTAAACTTTAAGTCCTAATCTCTTAATGTGAAAGAAGCTTTTGGCTGAGAGAACTCGCGTTACCTTCAGTAAAATGGAAACCACCACCACTACCAAACACTAGAAACCCAGAAATAGCAAAGCAGTGTAATGCCTTCCATGTAAGCAGAAAGCAACACTAACACAGAGGACCCTTGTGGAACCATGCCAGGACATCTGGATCCACAGTCTGGAGGCAATCATAGTATCAGAACAAGGGCCAGCAGAGCAATTCCCCTACCCGATTCCAGGGCAACCATGGAGACCCACTGCCTGGATCGGTTGACCAAGAAAGCTTCTGGTTCTACTTGAAAAGCACTCCTAGGCCAATAACCCCACTCCCTTTCCCCCCTTTTCCAGCAACTCGCTAGGAGAGTCCTGGTTACCCCAAGGTGGTAGCTGATGGAGCTGTTCAGTGACACCTACCATCCTCGTCAGTGCGCACGAGCACAGGGATGCTCTCCGGTCCTGGCCCCACATCGGTGTGAGCCCGTACCCACACCTTGTACTCGGTCCATTTCTCCAGGTCCTTGATCTCCCAGCTGGAGTGCTCCCGTCCAATGCCATCCACCACATGCTTGGTGTTGTCATCTCCTTCCACTGCCTGGTATGCAATGGAGTACTGGGTGATGACCCCATTGCGGCTTTGGGCAGGCGGTGGCACCCAACTTACCCGGATGGTAGTGGAGCTGGTGCTTATACACTCGACTTCTTGGGGTGGGGCAGAGGGGGCTGGGGATAAATAAATGAAGTGGGAAGATGAAGGGAAATGAGTGGAAGGACAAACCAAAATGCACAGGGAACTTTTACCCAGCCAACTGAGCACTGAACATACACATGGAAATTCAGCCAGTAGTCTCCTGGACAATCCTTTGCAGATCATCAAAGATGGTACTAGGGGCAATTGGTATTTGATAGCCTGAGGAGCAGCATGGAAACAGAAGTGCTGCTCTGCATCAGAGAACACTTCTTCCTAAAGCAGTTCTGGACACTCACTTTACCAAACACAACATATGATAGTAAGGGATGGGGGGGAGAGACACTGGTAGGGAGATGAAAGATGCTTTCAGTGAAGATCTGAAGCAGATGGAAACCAGAAGAGGTAGGAAGCTGCAGAAGGCAAAAGTGGCAGAAGGGGAAGCTCACACACCAGACTGATTGTATGAAGGCTTGCAAAAACCCATTCCTAGACAAGTGGAGGAAACAAAAGAGGGTAGGGAAAACATGTTGCTGAGGTTGGCTGGAGTGTGTCCAAGCAGGGCTTGAAATCACAACCATCAGGTGTGAGCAGCACCCTGGCCCAGGTGGGAGCTTGGCACCATGTGGAAACAGGAGATAACATGGTTGTGCTGCTCTGCATGTGTGCCTACCACCTGGGACTGACTGCTTCATGCCTGCCAAACTGGCTACCTGCCTCAGTAGCTTTCTGACCTATGGAACTGCACAGTGGAAGGTATGCAGGTCTTGTCCCCTCCCAGGGTGGACACATGCAGATTGCTTTAGCTTTTAAGCCCCAGCAATGTTAACTGGCCACAGCAGGAGGAATGGGATCTGGGCAATGGATGCTTCTCATCAGGGTGAGCAGCAGTTCCCTCCACACATCATCAATGGGTAAGAGCAGTGAAACAAGCCCAGGGGATGGGGAAAGAGAGACAACACTCCTGAGGAGGGCTGCCACAAGAAACGCTCATCAGCAACAATACAGGTGTCCTTCTCCAGCCTGTTAGTGATGATAACAAAGCAGAGCATCTCCAGGACACCTGCCTTGTTCATTGCCTTCTCCAGCCTTGCTGAACTGCTGTCCTGTTTCAACAGGGCCCCAGCAGCATGGCAGCAGCAGCCCCCTCTCATTTGGCCTCACTGTCCAGGGATGCTGCAGATACCGTGCTTGCACAGAAGACAAGGTTGGAAGCCAGGAGAAGGAAGAGAGCTCAACTGGTTGGGAGAAGAACAAGGGATATGGGTGCATCTCAGGGTGCTTGCACAGAAGGCAACACCCCTAAGCAGAGAGGGCAGGGCACCATCACTGAAAAAAAGTGCAGAGCTGCTCTAAGGCTGGGAAGCTGTCTGGTCAAGCAATAATGGAGTACCAGGTATCTTGCTTTGCCACAGCAGGTGAAAGGCTGCTGCTATTCATCACTGCACTCAGAAATGCCTGAACAGAGACCGGTGCCCTTCCCCATGCTGCAGTCTTTGGGGCCATCAGTGCACCAGCGCCAGCCTTCTTGGGCACAGAGACAAACCCGCCTGTGCAAACGTGAACACAACCTTAATTACTCCAGATGGCAGCAGGGAACTCATAATTAAAGCACCCAGCAATTATGCCTTGGCTTTACTGGGCACAAATTGGCAGTGGGAGAAGATCTGGGAAAGCTGGGGACAGTGGAACCTCCCAATGCCCCTGGCGACCTCTGCTTGCTGGGAACAAGGCCCACTTGCGTGCAGATGCAGTCACAGGCTGCCCCCAGTGCCCACTTCTGTACTCGAGGAGCAGAGCCCACCCCTGATGCCTGGACTGGGGTGCCTGGATAGAGAAAAGATGGAGGAAGAATGGGCAGTGATGGAGCTGGAAGAGATGATGCCTGAGCAGAGTCAGGCTACTGCTATGGCAGCTAAACTGGAGGAAAGAGAAGTTAAAGCAATACATGGAAGCAAACAGTTGCTTATGTGAGGGAGGCAGAGTGGGCTTGGCCCTGCCGTCTGATACACTGGAAGGAAGCAGGGGTAGGAAATGAATTCTCACACTCTCTGGGTTAATCAGCAGAGAAGTGGCAGGGAAGACAGTAAGTACAAAGATATAGCACCAAAGCAACACCAAAAGTGAATTCAAGAAGGGTACAAAGTAAACACAGGGCCTGGTGGCATCCCTCAGAGGGGACGGGTGAGACATAAGGAGCTTGGAAAACTTTTCCTTTGCCACTGTCTGCAAAGAGGCCCTTCACAGAGGAGACTTGCTCTGGCTTTGGACCTCCACAGCATGCTTTGGGGTACAGCAGTGAGCTCCTCCTCCAAAGGCAGCTCTGGCTAGTAGTGTTGGCAGGTCAAACGTCGGCTGTTGACTGGGTAAGAGTCACAAACATGATTTGCAAGGCAAAAACTCAGATTAACACTTAAAGAAAGCAAAATAAAACTTGATAACATGAGCAGGATAAACTTAAAATGCACAAGGAGTGAAGTGTCCTTCCCGGGGCCAGCAAAGAGCAGACTAGGTGCCTTGCATGTACCCACACACAAATGTCCCCACGTCCACACTATGCAAACCTCTGCTGCCTCCAGGGTACTCACATCAGCCTCCCCGGCTGGCTCACAGCAGCCCTGTGCACACATCCAGCCCACCTACTCCTTAAGCTAGGGAAAAGGCAGCCTCGAGACCCACCCTCCTATTTCAAGTGAGAACAGCATTTTAATGTTGAGGTCTGATGGGTGCAGAGCTGATGCTCTTCTCCTGCATCACATTGCTTGCCTGAGGCACTGCAGGCTCCTGGAAAACTCCCCCATGCTCCTCAGGCCTCAAAGCAGCATCACTTGTACTGTTTGCAGGGTGCCCAGCAACTAAGCAAGCGGCTTATCAGGAAAGGCAGTCCAGAAGGGATCTGAACTGTGCTGCTGGAAGGGTTCAAAGGGGCATTGCATCCCTCTGGCCTTCCTGGACAAGAATCCCTCCCACTCCTGAGGAGGGCTGCCACAAGAAAAGCTCATCAGCAACAATACAGGTGTCCTTCTCCAGCCTGTTAGTGATGATGTGCCTCCTGCCTTATCTTTGACTGATTTGTCAGGGCCAGAAATAGCAGGTGTTTGACTGCTCCTGCAGTTTGTGTCCCACCTGAACATGTCAACCTCCAATATCTAACAGCCTTTCTCAGGGCAACTAGATGCAAGAGTGTAGGAAAGAGACCAACTTTAAGCCAAGAGCAACACTCGTTCCAGACTAGTAAATTCTAAGGCCAAAGGGGATGGATCCAACCACCTAAAGTGAGGTGTTGCTAAGCGCAGACCAAGGAATTTCTGCCTGGAAGTTGTGCATTATGCACAAAACTTCTGCCAACCTAAAGCACAGCTTTCTGGAAGACCTACTTGACTTTGAGACCCCTAATACCCAAAAATCCACTCTACCTTGGGACTGTTCAGCGGGTAGTTTGTCACCCTCACTGAATAGCCCAGTAGTAACTGCTAAAGATTTTTCTCATAGAATAAAGTGTGATCAGAAATCATCTCAAGAAGGGGCCAGTAAGTGTGTTCAAGGATAAGAGCATCAACTGATGGAATTAAGTGGCAAGACAGTTGCTTCAACCTTTGACTATAAATACAAAAGTTATATGAAATAGGTATACAAATCCCCACACTCAGAATTTGTTCGCAGTGTTCAGACACTTAAACTGCATGCTCTGAATGGAGAGAATGCTCTCTCCATTTTCATACCTCTCTAATGTACAGCACTAAGACACCATTAGTTCACTTAACAAGGTGGAGGAATCCCTGCAATTGGTATGTTAATCAAGCTGAGCTTTCTTCAAAGAGAAGGTCGTTCCAATAGTGAGCAGAGTTGCTCTTCCCTGCCTGAGCTCCCTTTCTAATGGCCATCTCAGGCTCTCAGCTGCTGTGCATGCTGTCGCCCTCCCTGCAGGGAAGGCTGGCTGCCTTTGCCAACTGCTCACCCCACATAGCTAGCAAATCCCAGACAGACGGTGCTAACGGAAACGTCTTTTTCCCCCCTTTTAATGCTCTTTGCATAATAGCAAGCCCAAAAATCGTTAGTGAAAACGAGCTTATCGCAGGGCCCTTTGATAGCCCTAATCTGCTTATGCACAGCACTTTGAGCTGCCAATCAGAGCTCTGCAAACTCCTGCTCTGTGATCACACAGGGCAGAGTGAGGATGAAAGTGATATTGCTTGGGTCACCTCATTATCTAGACACTCTATTAACTCAGCTGCAGCTTGTTCTGCTTTCCCCTAGTGCTGCAGTCCCAGAAGTAGGAGTCTCACTTGCTCACACAACCCAGGCAAACAGCCACTTCCCCAGACTGACTCCTCCAGCTGCCTGACAGCCGCAGGCACATCTGGCTGCAAAGGATGCCTCACCTTGGAATCAAGTGTACAGACCAGGGATGGATGCCTGCGAAAGCAAGGCAGCTGGAATGGGGAGTGAAAGGGTGAAAAGTCCAGACAGTCACATTTAGAGCCAAACACCCATATGCAGCCTGTCCAGACAGCATGTCTGCATAGGAGTGAATTCAGAGAGGCACAAACCCACTGAAATCAATCTCTCCAAAGCAAGTTTCCCAGCCTTTTTCACTCCTCCATCAGTTTTTATGAATCCACCCTTAGGGA